AGCGAGCTCTGTCCTCACTTCTTGAAAGCTATCCCTCTTCTATCCCTTGAAGAGGAAGAGGGGACGACAAGGAGCTCCTCTCTCTTCTTGTCGACGAAGAGGCAGCCGCAGTTCTTATTGAAACTGGAGATGCGTTGAGCCTTGTCTTCTTCGACTAGAAGCGAGCTCCCTTCAATTCTCTTCAGAGGAGATGGAGACCTACCAAGAGAGAGAGGAGCTCGCTGCTAGAAATCAGCTGAATGACTTGGAGGGACTCTCTCCGTGTTTTCGTTGAGGGGTGGGGCATCGCCGCCCTTTCTTCTTGAGCGTATGCCCTTTTCCATCTTTTGAAAAGGTAAGGGAAGTAATCAGGATCTCTTTCCACTGCCAAGAGAGAAAGGAGGTTTCTTCTTCTTGTGCGTATGCTGTTCTCCATCTTTTGAAAAGGTAAAAGAAATGCTCAAGATCCAACCCCTTATGAAGAGAGAAAGGAGTTATCTTCTTTCCGACCGATGGGTAAACGGAGACCTTGAATTCTCGTGAAGTTGGAGGGGCCTGTCTGCTGGGCTGAGATGAAGCTCTCTTGCGTCTCATTACATGGGAGGAAGCTCTCAGTGATTTCTTGTGGAGGATGAGGTAGAAAATCTTTCTTTTTGGAAGCTAGGGGAGCTCTGTCCTTTCTTGCTAGGAGCGAGGTCTCTTCAGTCTTCTTAAGACGAAAAGGCGACATACCAAGAGGTAAGAAGGATGCTCTCTTCTGCTGCCACAAATCACCTGGGGACTGCCTTCTTGTTTTGGAGCATGAGGCTTTTTCCGTTTAAATGCTGAGGGATGACCAGATGTCTCTACTTGAAAATTGGGGGAGCTCCACCCTTTCTTCTTGAGCGTCCTCCCCTTTTCAAGAAAGAAAGGAGGTCTCTTCTTGCCGAGGGGTAAACGGGGCCCTCTTCTTTTTTGTGAAGTTGGAGCGGCCTGTTTGCTATGTTGAGATGGCGCTTTCTTCTGCCGCCTTAGATTGCTCTTAGTCTCTTCTTGTCGAGGATGAGGCAGAGGATTTTTTTGGAAGCTAATTCAGAGGATGGGGTAGAGGGCTGCTCATGTCTTATTGAAGGCTAAGGGGAGGATCAGACTCTTCTTTTGAAGATTGAGACAGCTCAGTCCTCACTTCTTGAAAGCTATCTCTCTTCTATCCCTTGAGGAGGAAGAGGGGACGACAAGGAGCTCCTCTCTCTTCTTGTCGACTGAGAGGCAGCCGGAGTTCTTTTTTTCCCGTGAAGTTGGAAGGGTTCTCTGCTCATTTGAGATGCTGCGGTAGAGGATGTGCCAAGGGATCTCTTCCTTACCCTTTTGGGGAAAAGAAGCTCATTTCTTGCGGATGACGAAGCAGCGAGCTCCCTTCATTTATCGTCAGAGGAGATGGTGGGAGGAAGCTCTCAGTGATTTCTTGTGGAGGATGAGGTAGAAAATCTTTCTTTTTGGAAGCTAGGGGAGCTCTGTCCTTTCTTGCTAGGAGCGAGGTCTCCTCAATCTTCTTAAGACAAAAAGGCGACATACCAAGAGGTAAGAAGGATGCTCTCTTCTGCTACCACAAATCACCTGGGGACTCCCTTCTTGTTTTGGAGCATGATGTCTTTTCCTTTTAAATGCTGAGGGATGACCAGATGTCTCTACTTGAAAATTGGGGGAGCTCCACCCTTTCTTCTTGAGCGTCCTCCCCTTTTCAAGAAAGAAAGGAGGTCTCTTCTTGCCGAGGGGTAAACGGAGCCCTCTTCTTTCTCGTGAAGTTGGAGCGGCCTGTTTGCTTTGTTGAGATGGCGCTTTCTTCTGCCCCTTTAGATTGCTCTTAGTCTCTTCTTGTCGAATCCTCGAGGCAGAGGATTTTTTTGGAAGCTAATTCAGAGGATGGGGTAGAGGGCTGCTCATGTCTTATTGAAGGCTAAGGGGAGGATCAGACTCTTCTTTTGAAGATTGAGACAGCTCAGTCCTCACTTCTTGAAAGCTATCTCTCTTCTATCCCTTGAGGAGGAAGAGGGGACGACAAGGAGCTCCTCTCTCTTCTTGTCGACTGAGAGGCAGCCGGAGTTCTTTTTTCCCGTGAAGTTGGAAGGGTTCTCTGCTCATTTGAAATGCTGCGGTAGAGGATGTGCCAAGGGATCTCTTCCTTACCCTTTTGGGGAAAAGAAGCTCATTTCTTGCGGATGACGAAGCAGCGAGCTCCCTTCATTTATCGTCAGAGGAGATGGTGGGAGGAAGCTCTCAGTGATTTCTTGTGGAGGATGAGGTAGAAAATCTTTTTTTTGGAAGCTAGGGGAGCTCTATCCTTTCTTGCTAGGAGCGAGGTCTCCTCAATCTTCTTAAGACGAAAAGGCGACATACCAAGAGGTAAGAAGGATGCTCTCTTCTGTTGCCACAAATCACCTTGGGACTCCCTTCTTGTGTTTTGGAGCATGAGGTCTTTTCCTTTTAAATGCTGAGGGATGACCAGATGTCTCTACTTGAAAATTGGGGGAGCTCCACCCTTTCTTCTTGAGCGTCCTCCCCTTTTCAAGAAAGAAAGGAGGTCTCTTCTTGCCGAGGGGTAAACGGAGCCCTCTTCTTTCTCGTGAAGTTGGAGCGGCCTGTTTGCTTTGTTGAGATGGCGCTTTCTTCTGCCCCTTTAGATTGCTCTTAGTCTCTTCTTGTCGAGGATGAGGCAGAGGATTTTTTTGGAAGCTAGTTCAGAGGATGGGGTAGAGGGCTGCTCATGTCTTATTGAAGGCTAGGGGGAGGATCAGACTCTTCTTGTGAAGATTGAGACCAAGCCGCCGAAGAGTCTGCCGGCGACTTCTCGCTCGAAGCGCTGGCCTGGAAGCCGCATATCGATCAGAACGATCGGCGGCCGCGTTGGCCTTAGCGCGGGCTCAGCCACGACATTTCAGCATCGCACACGAAACCCGGACAGCTCAGTCCTCACTTCTTGAAAGCTATCTCTCTTCTATCCCTTGAGGAGGAAGAGGGGACGACAAGGAGCTCCTCTCTCTTCTTGTCGACTGAGAGGCAGCCGGAGTTCTTTTTTTCCCGTAAGTTGGAAGGGTTCTCTGCTCCTTTGAGATGCTGCGGTAGAGGATGTGCCAAGGGACCTCTTCCTTACCCTTTTGGGGATAAGAAGCTCATTTCTTGCGGACTTGCGGATGACGAAGCAGCGAGCTCCCTTCATTTATCGTCAGAGGAGATGGAGACTTACAGGGAGGTAGAGGAGCTCGCTGCTAGGAATCAGCTGAATGATTTGGAGGGACTTTCTCCGTGTTTTCGTTGAGGGTTGGGGGGAATCTCCACCCTTTCTTGATCCGTCTGTCTACATTCCAAGGAGCCCCACCAATGTCGATGAGGCGAGACGAAAGATTCTATACTTGTATTGAGTATGTATAGAGAGACGTCGGTCCAGTACAATCGCGATATACCTACGTCTATAGTATGCAATGAAAACCCACAGTTTCAGCTGGCGACTATATCCTGTTTAAGCCGGCCACCCCCCCCCCCCCATATACACATCAGTTCATGGCTTCTTTTTGATGTGTCCTCGATCAGGCTTCAGGTTAGGGCAAACCCTAAACCCCAAAACCCTAAACCCTAAACCCTAAACCCCTAAACCCTAAACCCTAAACCCTAAACCCTAAACCCTAAACCCCTAAACCCTAAACCCTAAACCCTAAACCCTAAACCCTAAACCCCAAAACCCTAAACCCTAAACCCTAAACCCAAACCCCAACCCAAGGGACCGCCTGTTGCCTTCTACAAGTCGATCGTCTTCTTTTATTAGTGCAGGTGTTTCTAAGAATAGGTTCCTTGAGGTTTCCTTTGCAATGCTGAGTCATAGGGTCTCCTTTGCAAAACTGAGACATAGGACAAGAAGCGTACCCCCCTTCATAGGGTTGGGGGTTAAGGGAATCTGGGTAGCGTTTAGTTATGTGGATTTGGGGCTACGATCTATAGGGTTCGAGCTTTCGAGTTACAGTGCGAGGCTTTGAGGCTTCAGGGTTTAGGGTTTAGGGTTTAGGGTTTAGGGTTTTATTTACTCGGATTTGGATGTGGCTTTCCAGTCAGGTAGAGGACGGACTTCTGGATTCTGATGTTGCGGTACCTACCCTTTTCGTCTCTTCGTCCGGAGGTGACCACCAAAACCCTCCCTTGCTGCACCAAGAAACCCTGAGGCTGAACCTGTCCGACCTGGACAAGGACCCCGAGGGGTTCGAGTCTAGAGCTCTGCGTGGAGGTTCAAAAAAGCGCCCTAAGCCCTAAACCCCTAAACGCCCTAAGCCCGAAACCCTAAACCCCTAAACGCCCTAAACCCTAAACCGCTAAACCCTAAACCCCTAAACCCCTGAACCCTAAACCCCAAACCCATGAAGGTACACGCGCCCTTTGACCCCTCCAGACCTAATTCGACCCTAAGTCTGGTAAAGACTGGAACGCTTTGTTGATTCCCTAATGTAGGGGCCTTAATAATTGGTTTTGCGGTGTTCCTTTTTATAGTTATGGTATAATATACCCCCCCAAACCCGATTCTACTTTTTAAGGCCCCTGCATCAACTTCGAAAGCCTTTTCCTCGAGTCCTACCCTCATGCCGGCCCTTCACGATCGGATGCCCAAACCCCAAACGTATAAGCCAACCCTCACAACCCCAAACTCCGAGGTATGAAAGATCCTCATAAGCTATCATGATCACCATCTTCCTGGTCATCGTCATCATCCTCTCATCTTCATCCTCATCCTGATTCCTGATCTTCCTCCTCCTCCTCCTCCTCCTCCTCCTCCTCCTCCTCCTTCACCTCCTTCACCTCCCCCTCAACCTTTCCATCATCATTATCATCACCACCATTATCGTCATCAACACGTTCGCAATTTTCATCGCGACAGCAGTCGCAGCTGCACCTGTCGTGAAGTGCTATTCATGCTGTCTCTGAGCAGCGAGCGGTGTTGGCTAGGATGAGTGCAGTGTCGGCCAAGCTTCCACCTCCACATCGCCTCTGCAGCTGGCTACATGGATATAGCTTCAGAAGGTCAGAAGGCTTTGTATTGTAGTTTTGAGTTGAAGAGCTTTACGGGGTGGTAGCGATTTCGGGTTCAGGGTACAGCTTCTGGACCCAGGGCAGGCATGGTTTCGAGCGATTGCGGTGTAGCTACGGTTTTTTTGGCTTCGGAGTTTTTGGGTTTCTGGTTTCGGATATAGTATAGGGTTTGGGTTTCAGGGGCTGGCGTTTAGGGTTTGAGGTCCTTCGGGACCTGGTGTTTCCAGATGAAGGTCGTGGTTTTCGGGCCAGGTTAGAGTTTTGTGCATTCCAAGCCTTATTCCTATCATGGAGGCCTGTATTGGGCTTTGGAAAGAGGCGAGCAAGCAATTCAGGGCTTGTGGCTTCAGGGCTTGTGGTGGCCAAGTGGATGGGGATGCGAAGCTCTGGATTTTTGGGGTGCCGAGTTCTTCAGTGAGCCCGTACACTTGTAAGCCCGCCCTGAACCCTCAATCCAACCCTATTCCCCAACCCCAAAACCCTAATCTACAAGCCCTCACCGAAAGACTAACCCTAAACCCTAAACCCTAAACCAGACAGCACGAGAAAACACCTTAGAGCCCCAAGCTGGGACCCTCAAAGTGCCAAGCCCTGGACCGCAAGCCCCAGCCCTTCAACTAGGTAGGGCTTTGGGACATTTTAGATTTTCCCTTATTGGGCTGAAGAGGATCTTATTTACTAATATTTTTCAAAGGCTTTAAAAGCACCTCCTAGTCAACCATGCACTGTACCCTAACCTAGTATAGGGGCAATGGAATCAGCAATATGTGGGTGGTTGTCAAAATTATGGTGCCTTTTTGGGTCCCTAATATAGCACGGCACCTAATATTTGGGGTACCCGAAAAGGGACCATAGTTTTGACAACCACCCAGGTACAAAAAAGAACTCCAAGTCCTCTTCGAATGTTCTGGCCCCCTATATCAGCCCTGGCGCTACCCTAGCAATTCAGGGTGTTGGGTATTAAGTTGTAGCTCCTGGCGACAAGGCTGTTCAAGGAGTTACTAGAAAGCGAGTTGATCCATGCGTCCGTGGTTGTTGGTCTGTGTTTTGCTGCGTTTTCCAGCTTTCGCAAGGGTTGGTGTAGCGGCAGATGGACTTGCAGGGTCGTGGATTTGACCTCTGATTTCATGCTCGGATTTAGGGGTACTGCCCCCACTCAGGCACAGTTGGATATAATTCATAGTATAGATATATTAGGCCCTTAATAGTAGACCTATTATAGACTGTTACTGTATGGAGGGCAGTGCCCAAGGTTCGATGTTAGACCTCAATGAATTGGCCTTCATCCCTGAACGGGGAATTAGGGTCTGCTTTGAGGGTTTGAGGTGCTTATATAGGGGCCTCAAAGGTTAGAATAGGGTTTGGGGTATATTATAGTACAGTTATACTCAGGAACCGCCAAAACCCTATTCTAATTATTAAGGCCCCTACATAAGGTGCTTTGGGCAGAGGCCTGTGGTTTATTCGTGTCCTTGACTTGGGCAGCGCCGCAACCCTTAACCCTAGACCCGTCGAGTTAAGGCTTAAAGGCTGAAAGGCCCAGGCGTCCAGAGATAAGAGTTGAACCTCAGAGACCCAGAGAATGTCAAGCTTTACAGGTTTGGGTGATGCAGTGTAAGGGACGCTGTATGAGCCTGATCACTTCGAATTTTAGGAATACGCCCGCCTCGCCCTGTCTCAGGCTTGCGCCAGAAAGTTGAGAGAGTCTGGCCACTCATTCTTTACAGCCCCATGGCAATGAGAAGCTGTCTTATAATCGCCAAAGCCCTAAATTCTAAGCAGGGGAAAGTTGTTCGCATGCCCGAAGAGTATTATGGCTTCGGACTTAGACGAGTTGTCTGCTACGACAATTGCTGATACTACTGCTGCTGCCACTGATACTGCCACTGCTACTGCCAGTGCGCCTGCTAGTGGCTAGTGCTACTGCTCATGCTCCTGCTCCCGCTCCGGCTCCTCCTGCTCCTGCCCCTTCTGCTGCTGCTACTGCTGCTGCTACTGCTATACTGCACTGCTATAGTGCTATACTGCTACTGGTATACTGCTACTGCTCTACTGCTATACTGCTAGCGCTACCGCTACCACTACTGCTAAGGCTACTGCCGCCGCTGGTTCCTCCTCCTCCTCCTATTTCTATTCCTGTTCCTATTCCTACTCCTTTTTTTTTAATTCAGAAGCTACCATTCCTCTCCTGCTCGTACTGCTGCAGGGACGGCTGCTGCGCTGCTACTACTGCAACTCCACAGCGCCCAGCCAACCCCCAAATGATAAAGCGCAGTTTTGCACTCCATGAACAAGAGGGCAGAAGCCGCAGCCCTACACCCTCGCCCAACCAAATCGCGAAACCCTCCACCCGAAGACCACGCACCTCATCGCAAGCCACAAGCTTCCTCATGCAGATGACGTATGATACGCAATGGGTTGTGTCAGTTGCAACATTATATGTACTGTTTGCAACATGTACAACACAGTATATCATAATATGCATGTATAATGTCGAATACATGATGCAGCGGATGCCTCCATCTGTGTCAGACCTATGGAGCATACTCACCAGATGCTACTCGCTTCTGAAGGTGGTATTTGTGTTATGCTCGTGATTTGATACCTTATATGTTATATACTGCAAGCCAAACACAATATGTATATACATGTATACGTACTACATGTCGTTATATATATATATACACATACACAATTCCATACTTAAATACACGTATCGCATGTCGTTGTATAGATTCTTTGCGAGGGCGACATGGTCTCATTAGTCTGCCATGGTACGGTATAGCATAGTCGGAGACCGGAACCTAATCTCTGCACTCTGGGCTTCCAAACGCTTGGATTTGCTCTGGATCCTAGACGGCTTGTCTCAACGCCCTATACATGGGAGTTTCCGAAAATTAGGGGTACCTTATTTGGGGGTCCTTATAATAAGGATCCTACTATTTAGGGCACTACATATGGGTCCCCTATTTGCGGAAACCCCCACATAGACTTTAAATCTTAAAGCCGACTTTAAGTCAGTTGTAGAACCTTTTAAAGAACTCTTAAACCTGTTCTAATCATTAAAGCCCTTAAATTAGAACCATCACTGTCAATCTTATAGTACCCTTTAATAGGAACTCTATTCTAATCATTAAGGCCCCACATACCATAGAACCCTACTGTAGATCCCTTATCGAAGCCTTTAAAGAAGTCCTTTTCTAATCATTGAGGCCGCCGAAGTAGAACCATTCTTGTCACTGTGAACCTTACAGTACCCTTGAATTGGAATCCTATTCTAAAGCTCCCAACATCATACTCCAAAAGCTCGACGTCCGAGATCTTCGCGCTGGGCGACTTGCGGGCTGTCGGTGTGGGCTCCACCAAGTTGAAGCGGGACCGGTTTAGAGGCTAAGGGTTTAGGGTTGAGGGTTGAGGGTTCAGGATGGAGGGTTTAGGGTGTAGGGTAGAGGTTTTAGGTTTTAGGGTTGAGGGTTTAGGTGGAGATGTCAAACTGGTTGGAGTTATGAAGGGGTTTGGGGTTCTTTTATGCTTTGGTGTTTTGGGGCAACAAGAGGCACGACAACGAGTACCGAAGCGTCATGGTCCGAGCAACTTAGTTAAAGCCACCGGCAGACCCTGATCCGTAGAAAGCAAAACCCTATTGCAAAACATAAGCCCCAAGCCGTGAACCTAAATGCCTAGCCTACACTGAGCCCCAATTCCCAAACCCTTAAAAAAATCAACCACAAAGCTTTGGGCTTTACATGTTCTGCTGTTTGAGCCCTTAAGCCCTGAAGACACGGAAACAAACACAGCAAGCAACTAAGCCTCAAAATCAACACCTGAAGAGCTTTCGAAAGAACCCTCAAACCCACCCCGAAGCCTTTCAAAAAGCAGACCCCTGAACAACCCTTAACACCTTTCACAACAAACCTCAAACCGCCAGTAGACTCCTTGAAAACAAACAACCCTGAACCCTGAACTGTAACAGCCCTATAAAGCCTTAACATGCCTTAGCCCTACATCCCCCAAGCCCTAAACACTTTAACAGCCCTATAAAGCCTTAACATGCCTTAGCCCTACATCCCCCAAGCCCTAAACCCTAGGCCCTAAATCCCCTAAGCCCCCAAAAACGCGCGAAGAGAACGAGGAGCGCGCTGGCAAAGCGGCTCTCGTTTGCACGAAGCTTCGTCGCCGGCCTTGCCGTCGGCCTTGGGGTTGGGATAAGGGTTCAGGGTTTAGGGTTTAGGGTTTAGGGTTTGGGGTTTGGGGTTTAGGGTTTAGCGCTTACGCCCTCAATTCCCACCTGCCCCTGGTCTGTCTGTTGGCGCCAGGAAGGACGCACCTACACACGCCACAAAACAGATGGGCCAGGGGCGAGGGCCAGGGGACAGCCAAGGGGGGCCAGGGGAAACCAGGGGGGGCCAGGGAGGGCCAGGGGGGGCCAGGGGCCATAGGGTGTTTTAATCTCTTGAGATTCGAGGGAATTCCCTCTGCGAATATGGGCGCCACGCAAGGGGCCTAATGGCTTGGCTCAGCCCTAGGGGCTGAATTCGACCACTCTCCAATGGCTCCACCCATTGTCCATCCAGAGTTGGTGTCAATCACTGCCGGGTTTCCTTCTTGGGTCCAAGCACCCTAAGAAAAAGGGTGGGTACGGCCTAAGCAGGCCTGGGTGGGAATTTAGGGTTTAGGGTTTAGGGTTTAGGGTTTAGGGTTTGGGGTTTAGGGTTTAGGGTTTGGGGTTTAGGGTTCCACAGTGAACTCTGAAGCCTCAACCCTAAAGCCTGAACCCTGAACCCTGCGGAGAAAACAGAAACTTGAACCCTAAACTACCCGAAACTTGGAGTTTGGGGCTTAGGGTGTTTACATTCGGCAGGGGAATGACCTGTCCCGCGTCTCCGGAGCAATGAAAAGCTTGGCTCTTTGGATTGCAGTTAAGGTTTAATAGGTACCGATTTGGCATGATGCTTAGTTTCCGTTATTGTCTAGTATAGATCCATTTTGCTTATAAATAATTTTGGGGACTGTTGCCTAGTTTAGGGTTTAAAGGGTTCAGGGATGTTGAGGGTTTAGGATTTTTTCTCGAAGTTTTTGGGCTTGGGATTCGGGCTCACGGGTTTCGTTCTTCTCACTCTGACTTCTTCAGCCGAAACCCTATGGAAGCAAGTCCTGCAACCGGATCCAAGCTAGAGGTTTTCAGGGTTTATTCTGCAATTCCAGGGTCTCGTATACTTAGCATGATGACATTGATGTTGGGTACTGCCCCCACTCAGCAACAGTTGGATGATATTCATAATATAGATATATAACGACCTTAATAGTAGCCCTATCATGGACTGCTACTGTATGGGGGGCCGTACCCAACATTGATGTGCTTTTTCCCAAGGTGGAGATGGTGCGCGGAATGGAAGCTGGCAAGCGGCGCGCCCCTGTGCAGCCGGTGCCGACGAAACGCCGAAGGCAGGAGCCCGGCCCTCTGGGACTTGGGTTATCCAGGGTGATCCTGCACCCTATAGGGTCTATTACCTGGGATAGTAAGGTTTCCACATGATTACTGGCGCTCCTAAATCTTTGTCATAGTTGGGTCACATTTTACGTTTTGATGCGTACTTAAACCCAATAAGGAATACAAATGTACATGTTTTATCCTATCCCAACCATGAACTAGAAATGAGGGTTTCGGTGTCCGAGTTCAGGGTATTGGGCTCGCAGCAACACCTTTCAGGCCAAAGCTAGTTCCTTTGTGGTCCCAAAACTAGTACGGCACCCTTGTAACAAGGACTCTAATGTAGAGAAGTACCCATGTGCAATTAAACGAATCTAGAGTAGGGTTCTGTAATATTGGAGCCTTAATAATTACCTATACTATTTTGGGGGGGTTCCTTATCATATTGACAGTATAGTGGGCCCCCAAACCCTGTTCTAAGCATCAAGGCCCCTACATTAGATCCTAACCGCACCCTGAACCCTAAGACTAAACCTCATAGAACCAAAACCGTTTCCTCCAGCCTAAGTTCGTTCATGGTGGTTGTCAAAATTGGAGTCTCTTTTTTGGGTACCCTAAATATAAAGTGCCGTATCAGAATAGGGACCCAAAAAGGGATCCTAATTTTGACAACCGCCCTCTTCGGTGTCTTGCAACCCTAAACCCTAAACCCTACTAAACCCTAAACCCTAAATCCTAAATCCTAAACCCTAAACCCTAAATCCTAAACCCTAAACCCTAAACGGCGCAGGCGGGCGCGGTCTCCATCAACGGAGTCTCTGCCGAGCATGGTGTGGTCCAGACGCTCGACTTGGCTCAACATATACTTGTGCTGGTCAAATAGAACAGGGATTCCTTTTAAAGGGTCCTCTAAAGAGCTCTATAAGGGATCGATAATAGGGAATCACATGGGGGCCTTAATAATTGCCGAAACTAATTTGATTGTGGGGGTTCCTTAATATGACTATCGTGCAACATACCCCAAAACCGTATTCTAATTGATAAGGCCTCCTTATACTTGGCAACGACCGTGAGAGCATGACAAATATGCGGAGGTGTCCGAAAGTCCAGGGCCTGACCTCAAACCCAGTGCTGTAGGCACCACCACTGACGCAGCTGCAGCCGATTCGGCCCCATCCTCTCACAGAACGACTTTCCACTGTAGGGTGCAAGGAAGCAAGCTAAGGCAGGGCAAGGGGTGACATTGGGTGTTTTCCGAAAATTCAGGAAGACTGTAGCCTAAACAGCGATGCACCGAACACCAAGGCCCCCCAAGAGGATCACTCTCTCGGGTTCTGTTACACTAACGTTCTAGCCGGTCTACCAGACCCATCGCGACTTTTCTTCAAATTAAGGTCCCGTTTCGGGTTTCCAAAATAGTACGGCGCCATTATTAAGAGGACACTCGAGGCGACTTTCGTTTAGAGAGCTACCCACTTATTGGCGCAGGGTTCGAAGCAATTTCCGGGTACGTGGAGGATTCAGAAGTTTGGGAGTTGCGCATCAGAATCTTTCCAAACCCCCTGCTCCTGCTAGTGCGACTGCTACTGAAACTGCCACTACCACCACTACAGCTGCTACTGCTACTCCTACTAGCATCGCCCCAGTTCGGGCGAAGTGCTTCCTTCGGAGCCATAAGCCGCAAACTGTTATGCTTCGGAATTGGAGCTGTGGCCATACTATGGGGGCCTAAATAATTACCTATAATATTGTGGGGGAGCCTTACTCTGATTATAGTATAATGTACCCCAAAACCTTATTCTAATTATTAAGGCCCCTACATGATAGAACTCTATTATAGATCGCTTATAGGCCCTCTAAAGGCACAAAGGAACCCTATTCTAATTATGAAGGCCCTGTGGCAATTTCCGACGTGGAGGCTCGAGAAAAGGGCTTCGAAGGCAATGGGTTTAGGATTTAGGGTTTAGGGTTTATAGGATTTAGGGTTTAGGGTTTATAGGGTTGAGGGTTCAGGGTTCAGGGTTTAGGGTTTAGGGTTGAATGTTCCAGACCTCGGGTTTAGGGAATCATGCTACCCTGATGGATAGCGTCGTCCTGAACCCAGTGGATTTGAGATTTCACCAGTCTGCGTAAGGTGACGAAATCGTAGAACTGGGTATGTCTTGGGGTTCAAGGGTTTCTAGACCCTACGCCTTTTTGAGTGTTCTCGGACTGCCTCGCCCCAAATTCGCGCGACAGAGGTGCGGGTTCCTGAGCAACCGGCGATGTAGACCAGAGAAGCTAACAACTACGATAACCGTATCTACAATAGTAGTAAATTGTATTGAAAGCTACCCTCTATACTATACAGATATGTCATCATTGCACCTACGAAACCAACTGGTGGTCTGCGTTACTGGTACTTGTGCATATCGTAGCCACCGCACTCAGCTGTCGAATCAGACCGTAGTCCTAAACCTCAGTCTTTTGGGCGGGTCGTATGGCGCCTGAGATTTGCTCCAGTGAGCCCTAAACCCTAACCCGAAACCCGAAACCGTGGGTCCCAGAGCCTTCCACCCTAAACCATAAACTCTAAACCTACACTTTAAACCCTAAGCTCTACATCGGAACCATAGCGCTGAATTTGTGTTGGGTTCAGGGTCTAGGGTTAAGGATTTAGGTGTTGTGTAGGGTTTAAGGAGTTTAATGCTGTTTTGCTTCCTATTAGAGGGCTTATAAGGGTTTTATCATAGGTTTAATGGGTTTGTAAGCACTGTCGACTTCAAAACAGTAAACCCATTAGCGCGAATTACGTAGGCTGTCAGAAGCCTGTGAGAAGCCTTTACTCAGGGAGCTGCATCCTTCATGCTCGAAGAGCGCAGCAGAGTGTCTTGCATGCCTCAGAAACTGCCTGGTGCCTTGAACCGTTACATCACTAAGTTCCGCGTATATGATCTAGGGGCATTAAGAAATGCCCACACTATTTTGGGGGTCTCTGCTTATACTTATAGTGTAAGGGGCCCCAAAAACCCTATTCTAATTATGAAGGCCCCTATATCATAGACCCTTCTTATAAATCCCTTAAAGACCCCTTTAATGGAACCCTACTCTACTTGTTAGGGCCCTTGGAGTCTCCCGGAAGCCCAGAGGCCCAAGAGACTCCTAGTGCCAGGAGCTTGCGCCTGGAGATCCCCTGCAGGAGAGAGAGCAACTCTGTGGTTCTTACTAGAGAATGGGGGGAATGGGGGCCTTTTTAAGGGTTCCTTTAAGGGTTCCTTTAAGGGATCTATAGGGTTTAGTGTTTAACCTGTCTGGTTCTTAGTAGGGAATGGGGGAATGGGCTCTGGGGACTACTTTTGAGGAGTACATAGGGACTACTATAGGGATCCATTCCCATATTCCCTACTAGGAACCAGCCAGTATAGGGCCCTTATGGTATCCCTTATGGTAACTCGTATAGACCCCTTTAAAGGCTCCCAAGGGTAGAATGGATCCTACTCAAGAGGACTACCCAGACAGCGCCTTGGGAGCCCTCTGTTTAGAGGTTTAGAGAGCACGACCGCAGCCATGACGATGGCGATGGATATGAGCATTACATACTCCGGGTTTAGAGGATTGGGGGTTTAGGGTTTAGGGTTTAGGGTGCTTGTATTTTCATAAGAGTTGTGAACTGTAACGCCGCGTTCCTCGGCCCCGAGCGTCCATCAGGAGTTGGATGGTGAGAAGGACCTTCCTCTCATCGAGGCGGGTATTGAGCCCTTGCCAACTGTTCTTCTTTCGAGTGCCCATGTACGCTCCCTTTGTGCAAAGACCGCTTAACCGACATACACGCCCAGCGTTTCCGGGCGTTTTCGGTAGTAGCATGTAGCTGTAGCAGCAGCATGCGCTATGATGTTGACCCGCTCACCCAACCTGAATTGCAACTGATCACTCTCAACAGTGTGGGAAATCTCGAATGAGCTTCAATTCTGAACTCCTTCTGGCACCCTGGCACGCAAGACGCAAGACTCAAGCTGCAAGACCCGCAACAGCCTCCCTGATCGTCGAGCCTCACATGCCCTATGCGGGCCTGTATAATTACCCATGCTGTTCCTCGAGGTTCCTTAGACTGTGCAATGCCCCAAAGCCCAGTTTTAACTGTTCAGGCCGCGTCATATTATTATAGATCCCTTACGGAGCCTCTTTGAAGGACCCCTTGCAGGAGCGTTCTTCTAGCTTTTCAGGCCGATGTGTTACATCTGCATTGGGAGTTTCAGAAACTCGGATTCCCTGATATTTAAGCACCCCCTAATAAGGCACCTCTAGATTTGACAGAAACCTTGTTAACGTTTGATAAAACCCCGTAAGGCCTGAACAAACGCGTATCAAACCCGAATAAAAACCAAGCAGCAGATCGTGTGAACACACCGTTTTGGTTAGAGGGTTTAGAGGTTTGGGCGGTCACAGGATTAAACGCGTTGGGTGTAGCATGTAGGCCAGAAGAACTGGCCCCACCCAGATGCCCAAACCCTAAACCCCAAACCCTAGACCCTAAACCCCAAACCCAACACCCTAAACCCTTAACCCCAAACCCTAAACCGTAAACCCTAAACCCCAAACCCTAGACCCTCAACCCCAAACAATTAACCCTAAACCCTAAACCCCAAACCCTAAACCCTAAACCCTAAACCCCAAACCCTAAACCCTAAACCCCAAACCCTAGACCCTCAACCCCAAACAATTAACCCTAAACCCCAAACCCTAAACCGTAAACCCTAAATCCCAAACCCTAGACCTTCAACCCCAAACAATTAACCCTAAACCCCAAACCCTAAATCCCAAACCCTAGACCCTCAACCCCAAACAATTAACCCTAAACCCCAAACCCTAAACCCCAAACCCTAAACCCTCAACCCCAAACAATTAACCCTAAACCCCAAACCCTAAACCCCAAACCCTAAACCCTCAACCCCAAACAATTAACCCTAAACCCTAAACCCTAAACCCTAAACCCTAAACCCTAAGCCCGAAACCCTGACATGTTTGGAAACACCTCGAAAGCAACTCGGAAATCACCAAATCTCCAACCAAAGCCCTGGTGAAGGCCTTTTCGGTTTACAGTCTGCCACTTGCCTGGGGACTAGTAATAATAGTAATAGCAATAATGACCATAGCAATAATAATAGTAATAATAATAGTAATAATAATAGTACTAATAATAGTAGTAATAATAGTAATAATAATAGTAATAATAGTATTGTGAAAGCGAAGCTGAAACTGAAGGAGCCGAGAAGAATTCCGGTGGACTTGCGCCCAAACATCTCCGATCGGTTCAAGGCCCCTGCGTTTCGAGGGTTCAGAGTCTATAGAGTCCTCTGATGCGGGATTCAAGCTGGGGCTTGAATTAGAGGTTTACACGTACCGTTTAGAACGAGTCGACGGTGTCCTGCGTAGCGTTTAGGGTTTGTGTAGGGTTGTGGGGGCTGCCGAAGCTGAGGAAAGCTGATGCTTTCGCAGTCGGGGGTCGTTTTGTCTGGAGGGTTTCGGAATCGAGTTCAGGTAATTGTCAGAACTTGCATTCGCAGCACATGTGCCAGTGAAATGAGCGCTGCAGTTGGCCCTGATACTCGTGGTACGGTCTTGTTCAGAACGGGGTGAAAGTTGGCCGTGCTTTTTTTCTTTCTATATTGCTCGCATGAAGCATAAGCAACCGGGGGAGTCGTGACAGCGATCCTGACTGTGAGCTCGCAATGGTTTCAGTACAGGTACTGAGGCTCGAAACTTTAAGCCGGAAACCAGCCTTGTCCTTTTTCATGGTTCCCCCAAAAGAATAAACAGACCGGCTAGTAGACCTCCTTAAACAGTTCCTATTAAGGGATATAGGTATAGGGCTCTGTCTATTATTTCTAAAAGGACAAGGGTGCCGGAAACCCTAAACCCGAAGACCCGTACCTTGAACCTGGAAACCCCGATCGGCCGCTTTTACAACCGACGCGCAACATGAGCCCCTGAAGCCCGAAACCCCAAAACCATCCTGCGAAGTCCATGAGGTCAACCCTATACCCTATATCCAGGTTATTACGAACTCCAGAAACCCTCCCTAAACCCGATAAACCCCAAACGGAGAACCCTAAACCTTAAACCCCGAACCCTAAACCCTGAACCCTGAACCCGAAACTCTAAACCCTGAACCCGAAACCCCTAAACCCTGAACCCTGAACCCTGAACCCGAAACCCCTAAACCCGAAACCCGTAAGCCCGAAACCCCTCAACCCGAAACCCCTAAACCCGAAACCTCTAAAACCCTGAACCTTAAGCCCGAAGCCCCTAAACCCGGAACCCTACACCCGAAACTCTAAACCCTGAACTTAAACCCGAAACCCCAAATCCTGATTGCCTGTATCCCAAAATTCACATGAAAATTAGGGCCCTTTTTTGGGTACCCTAAACATTAGGTGCCGTATTATAATAAGGACCCAAAAAGGGACCCTAACTTTGACAACCTCCCATATATAGCTCATTAATTATGCAAGTCTTTTCGGTTACAGGTACACCCTAAACCCGAAACCCCTAAACCCTGAACCCTAAACCCTGAACCCTAAACCCTGAACCCCAAACCCTGAACCTCAAACCCTAAACCCCATAATTTTGACAACTACCCACATCCGCAGGAGCGGAGTCCCAGCTCATGCACCGGGGAGGCTCTCGGGTTATTGACTTTTTTTGGGTACGGAAGGAGGGTTTAGGGGTTTAGGGGTTTAGGGGTTTAGGGTTTAGGGGTTTAGGGTTTAGGGTTTAGGGGTGTGTGTGTGTGTGTGTGTGCGTGTGCGTGTGCGTGTGCGTGTGCTTGTGTGCGTGTGCGCATGTGTGCATGTTTATTTTCCCTGTTATTTTTTTCTATTGGGTTTGTTGGTCCGTAAAGAGTTTGATTCAGGTTCATCTGGTTGGAGTTTTGGAGGTTTAGGTTTTGTATAGATGTGGCTTTGTGGCTTTATGGTCTTGAAAGGGTTCGGTGGAGGGTTTTAGCCGGTTCTGAAGGGTTTATGGGGTGTGGAGTTTTGGTAAGAAGTGTGGTTGTTCGACTTGTGAAATGCATGAAGTCTGTCTTAGCCATTCCAATCCTATTGTCGAGAATGCTTGATAGATCTGCGAGTGAAGTTTGTCATCACGACGTGCTGCAGTCCGAACAAGTATGCTTCGGTCAAAACATGTGTATATATGAATATATATATATATATATATATATATATATATATATATATATATATTCATTATGTGCATACATGTAGACGGACTCTCTCGCGTTCTCTCTCTCTCTCTATATATATATATACACATACAGATAGATAGACAGATAGGCAGGTAGACAGATCGACAGACAGAAAGATACACAAATAGAAAGATAGAAAGATCGAACGAACAGTTGAGATACACGTATGTGAGTTACCTCGTGTCTCTCCAAGGCTCAGGTCACAGCCCTTTGGTTGGTAGACCCGAAGAAAGCCAAAGGAAGCAGTAGCCCCTAGTAGAGAAAGGTGCTTCAACTGATGTAAAGTTTCGTAGTCTGGTTTAAGGCACACTCCTTAACAAGCACATTCCTCAAGGACGGGTGCTAGGATCTTGCAACCCCAATCGGCAAGGTTTGCGGTCACAAAATAGGAGGGCCCTCGCAGCAGGAGTGCTATTCGTTGTTAGCAGCCAGTCAAACCTCCGTTAATGATCGACGCCATCTTCTAGACTGCAATTCCGCCGATTCGAACCAGCGAGGCAGATGAAACAACTTGTGCAGCATCCACACCGCGAGGTGTCGGCCCCCGGGTGCACGCGCTTTGGGTTTCGGCTTTGGGGTTGAGGTCTGAGGGCTCCGGGCTTCAGGGTTTCATAGGGATCCTTAGGGGTGTAGGGGGGAGGGGTGTAGGGGACTATATTTCCTTAAATAGGCCTTATTAGTCCTTATTATGGGCCTTAAGGCCCCCTACCCCCCCTCCCCCTACACCCCTAAGGATCCCTATGAGGGTTTGAGCCTGGAGGGCTTGGGTTACTTTGGGGTTGAAGTTCCACGTAGGGCCGCGCGTGGAAGACCCCAGCTCGCGCCTGAAGGCTGAATTCCGGAACCTTTAATAACTTCCGAATCCCCCAAAACCAGAAGATCCTAAACCCTAAAAACCCTAAACCCTAAGCCCTAAACCAGAAGATCCGAAACCCTAAACCCTAAACCCTGGCTTTTGCAATCCTGCACCAGATGGGTGTTCTCTAAAGTTCGAGGGCTTTCGGGACCCCAGTTTGAAGAGTGGCAAACAAGGACCCGAGTGGAGAACTCCCATATCCCAGCAGAAACAGCATTCCAACCAGTCAATTTCACTTCTTTCCAAGGTAAAAGGACGGACCCTTAATATGGACCCCTAGGTATACACCCTTAGTAGCCATTATATACCCATTATATAGCCCATTATGGGGTAGGGGTCCCCATTAAGGGTCCCTCCGTTTCCCCTTTGATTCTTGATCAATCCTTGAGTGGCCCTCCACCCTTAACTCTTGACCCAACCCGAAGTCCTAAACCGCTCAACCCTGAACCCTACACCCCCAAGTTCATTGAGGTGAACCGTTCACCAACGAGCAGGGCACCCTGCAAATGCAGGTTGGGGGGCTCTGAGAAGGGCTTAGGGTTTAGGATGATTCTTGGAAACTAGCTGCTTTTTGATTCTCATGGTGGAGTTGAGGGTTCTGTTCTTGTGATACGGAATTTGGGGTTTGGGGCCTGGTTGAGGGGATCTTAGGATTCTCTTGGGGTTTATGAGGGTGGAGGGTTTAGGCGGTTTGGGTCCCTAAACCCTTAAAGGGGAAGTTGATGGTTTGAGGCGTTTGGGCTTGGCGTGGAAAGATATAATGCAGGGGCTTGAAAAATTACCGATACAATTTTTAGGGCTCCTTCTTATAAGCATAGTATCATGGGCCCCAGTCAGAACCCTACTCTAATTATTCAGACCCCGAGATTAGGCTCGTGGAAGGGCGCACGGCTGAACCTAAATGGTCCCAACACTTAGATCCTCAAGCCGACACCCCAAACTGAAAAAGCCCGTAACCCTAGACTCCAAACAGACTCCTACCTGGGGATCCTGAAATCTACAAAAAAAATCGGGGGGGGGGGGGGGGGGTTTGGGACATAAGCTCAAACAATGCTCGTGCCGACCTAAAAGCGCGGGTCGCTTTCGTCAGGTTTTTTTGGGGGGTTCAGCTGAGTGTGGGGTTTTGCTGGAGACCAAGGTAGTAGCATCTCCATGATATGGATGTCCCCA